GCAGAGGACAGAAGAGGCTGTCAGATCCCCTGGAACTGGACTTACGGACAGTTGTTAGCGGCCATGTGGGTGCTGGGATTCGAACGTGGATCTTCTGTAAGAACAACCAGTGTTCTTAACTGCCAAGCCATATCTCCAGCCCCGTCACTATCAATAGTTACATCAAGGCCTAGTCTGTGGCTCAATCAACTTAATCAATATATACTCTTTGACATTTAGACATTAGTATTCTTCCTTTAAAAAAAAATATTAGATACTAAGGGCTGGAGAGAGGAATCAGTGGTTAGAAGTATTTGCTGTTCTTGCAGAGGACCTAGGTTCAGTTTCCAGCACCCACATGGCAGTTCACAAATGTAAGCCCAGTTCCAGGAAATCTGACTCCCTCTTCTGCTTTTCACAGGCACGTGGCATGCACACGGTACACATACACATGCAGGTACTCACACATACAGATAAAAAAAAATCTTTAAAAATCAGATAGAATGTTGGGATGAGTTCCTCAGGGAGGTCTTTGTTCACAGTTCCATTAGGACAGATTTTGAGGATTAATCCCTAGATGTGAAGCTGCTAAGCAGATGAGATGCACTATTTTGTTTGTTTTAGAGACAGAGTCTATGCTGCCCAGGTAGACCCGAACTGGCAATCCTGCCTTGGTCTCCCGAGTGCTGGGATTGTACGTGTGTCACCATGCTCTGCTGTTGATATGCATTTTAGAAGAATTTTGACATGTGTTACCCGCCTGTACGCCACAGTTTATACTTCAACCAGTAGCATAGAAGGGCACCCACTTCTAGAATCTATACTTACACTGTAGGTATGGCATTAAAAACAAAACTAAGCCAAATCAAAATTTACCAACAGGCTAGATCAAAAACAGTATTACAGGTCTTCCTTCCCTCCAGCCCCCCCCCCAAAAAAAACCCCAACCCTTAAAATTAACAAAGTAAAACAAATTTGAGATAGTATTATCTTCATTTTCCTGATGAGAAGCAGACTTGATGCAAGTCAAATAACTTGGCAGGAGGACCTGTAGTTGGTTTGCATGCTATGCTGGCTCATTAATGTGACCCAGAGTTTCCCAATTGGCCTGTGGGGACATGCTGGTGTAATATCACTTGCAGATCCTCTCATTTCCTGGGTCTGCCAATGGTGGCTGTCAGCTGGGGAGGGGCTTCCTGTGTCTGAGCTCCTTCAGTTCTTACTGCTGGACCTTGACTGTACTCCGAGATGAAATGACAAGGAAGCACAAAGAACTAAAGGGCAGACCCGGGCTGTCTCA